AGACCTGTACAACATGTTACTGTACTGAATACTGTTAGCAATTATAACAGAATGGTATTTGTATAATGCATTGTGCTACAACATTATGATGGCTGTGTCACGTCACTAGGTGACAAAAAAATTTTCAGCACCATTATAATCTTATGGGACCATCATATATGTAGTCTATTATTGATCAAAGCATGGTTAAGCAGCACATAACTGTATTTAGGTATTTTAAAATTCTCAACAGCACTTTTTTAGCTTTCAGTTTATAGGGCTTACACATATGTCATTAGAGTTGTTTCTAGGTATAAGACTGTTTCATGCTATGGTAGAGAGTATTATATACTTGTTTTAAAATGCTCATTAATATAGAATTGCAGTTCATCACCATTACTGAACTTCTGTTGTGACCTTTTTAAATTCACTTATTGCCCAAAACTAGTTTAAAATTTTTCATAGGATTTATGTAAATACGCACTATCCCTTTTTTCTTACTGTTTTCTGTTGCCTTAATGTACTGACTAGGAATTCTATTGCAATGTTGAATAGTAGGCAAGGATATCTGCCTTATTTCCAATCCTAAGTGGAAGGGATTTAATATTAAACCATTAAGTATGAGATCAGCTGTTAGATCTTTACAAATACGTTTTATCAAGCGGTGGAATTCTCTTCTGTTTCTGGTTTGCTGGGAATTTTTATCATGAGTGTTCAATTTTGTCAACTTTTTCGTTTCTGATTTTTCTCCTTTATGTTAAAGTGAATTATATTGCTGGGATAAACTCCACTTGGTCATGCTATATCATTTATTTTCATTGCTAAGCTTTATTTCCTATTGTTAAGTATTTTTGCATCTGTATTCATGAGAGACATGAACCTTTTTCCTTTCTTATATTTGTCAGGTTTTGTTACTGGGGTTATGCTGGCCTCACAAAAACAAATTGATAAGTTCTTTTCTCTATTTCTTGAGAATTTGTGTAGAATATTTGATAGAATTCATCTGTGAAATAATCAGGGCTTAGAGTTTTCTTTTTGGAAAGATCTGTGGTTACAAATTCAAAACTTTAATAAATATGAAGTTCTTTTTAGATCTTTTCTTCTTATATCAGTTTTGAGAAGTTATGTTTCAAAGGACATTTATCTATTTCATCTGAATTGTTGAATTTTTGACATAAAGTTGTCCATGACGTTATATCTTTAATTAAATTGCATAGCTTGAAACAACAGATAGTTATTCTCTCATTTCTGGAGAACAGAAATCCAAAATCAAGGCTCCCTCTATAGGCTGTGAGAGAGAATTCTTCCTTGTCTCTTTCTAGTTTCTGGTTGCTGGCAATCTTTGACTTGAGGCTACATTACTCCAGTCTCTGCCTCTGTCTTCACTTGGCTTTCTATTTCCGTATCTCTATGTTGCCTTCTTCTAAGGACACCAGTTGCTGGATTTAGGGCTTATCCTGATCTAGTAAGATTTCATAACTAATTAGATATGCAAATAACCTATTTACAAACAAGGTCACATTCTGGAGTTCTGGATGGCCATGACTTTTGGGGGAAATGCTATTCAATTCCATAAATTAGTCTTGCTAGGTAATTTATCAATTTTGAACATTTCCGAAAACTCACTTTTGATTTTGTTGATTTTCTCTGTTAGTTTCCATCAATTTTGAAAAAGTTCTCAGTCAATATCTCTTCAAACATTTCTTCTGCACCATTCTCTTTATCTTCTCTTTCTGAAACTCATTACAACATATATAAGGCCATTTGCTTTTCCTTCAAAACATACGTACTCTATTCTTTTGTTTCACTTTTTTCTTTTCGCTTTTATTTTTATACTTTCAAATGTCCTTTTGAAATGATCTTTTCTTCTATGTGTAGTCATATCATATTCAATTCTAAAATTTTCTCTTTTTTCAACATTTACGTGTCTCCGCTGAAAGTTTCATTCTTTTCATGCCTGTTTTTCACACTTTTTACTAGCTCCTTCAGCATTTTTATCACAGTTATCTAACTTGATGATTGCAATATCTGGGAAATCTCTGAGTTTGCTTCTATTGACTGTTTGCTCTCTGGATCAAAGTTTTCTGCTACTTTGCATGTCTTATAACTTCTTACTGCACGCTGGATATTTTGTACAAAAGAAGAGTAGGTATGGAAATAAATAATTTACCTGCAGAAAAACACATGCCTGTTCCTTTGTCAGACTCCTAGAGTAGAAGGCTGAGTTAATCAGATCTGTAGCTGAGGTGATGTTGCTACTTTGGTTTGATTCACTTTACCACTTTCTTCAAATATTGTAAGTGAATAAAGTTTTCTTTCAGCAGGGACTAGGTTTTGAGCATTGGTGCGATTTTAGTGAAATCTTTGTGCTTTTCAGTTGAGCTGCCGCTTCCCAGACAGGGGAGATTTCTCTCTGCACTACAATCCAACAGCATATTTTAGAATTTCTGAGGCATCCTCTTTGCGGTCTACACAGCCTTTCTAAGTAGGTGAACTCTCAGGTAGGCTCTTTCAAATTACCACGCTTTTGGAGGATAGAGTTGCTTACACTGTTAAGACTCAATGCCTCAGAAAGATCCTTCCTTTGTTCTAGGTCTGTGTTATATTTTTATCTTTTTATCTATATCTATTTTTATGTTAAAAAGAACATTCTTTATAAGACTAGCACTCTAACTGGTTAAAAGAGGCAAGATGTACACCATGGATTTACAAAGATACTAATAAGCCAATATTTACTGAACTTCACTTCACAGTGAGTCTGTACAGGACACTGCAGAAGATATAAGAAATGCTGCCTTTCTGTTTCATAAATCCATCAAACATTTACAAATTATGACATTATACTAGAAGTATACAATACAATCTCAGTAACTGCGATGGATAAAAACAAAGTTCCTAAATTATATTAGACCTCTAGTTTGATTTTCTAAAATCTGGTTAATAGTGGACTAGTGCAGGCTCCTTCTACCATGTGATTCTGCCATCTCTTAAAATCTTGTTTTTATCCAATCAATATCTAATTAGTGTAAGGAGAAAAAATTGGGAAAGAACATTTCTGTTTTTCAAAACCTTAATATGAAAATAAATATACATTTCATTTATATTTTACTGGCTAAAATTCAATCTCGTGCCTACACTTCTTTGAAAGGGAGACTGGGAAATATAGTCTTACTGTGTACCCAGGACAAAAATGAAATAGATTTTCACTATCAATTCATAGTATCTACTAATTTATCTATGAAAAACCTCTTATTCTTAAAGATAAACATTCAACACAAAAATGTTAATTAAATTAAAGAGGAATGCCTTATATTTTCATCCAATCGACTGTATCTGACAGTGGAGGCAAAGCATATTTTAGGAATATAGTTGTCTGCCATTACTTCAGAATTAAGGTGAGGGACAGATACACATTTAAAATTTCTATTTCTTTGAACTTATTAATATTTTCAGCCTATGTTATTTCGAAGGGTAAAAGTTAAATAATGGAATTAAAATACTATCCAAGTAATATTTTTGTCTTAAAATAATTTATTTATTGTGTTAGTCTAGATCCTTAAACTTAATATCCTAGTATTGACATAAAAGTGCATCTTCTTCCCTGTGCCACCTCCCCCCCACACACATAATTTATAATTTTATGAACTCTGATTCTATCATTTTCCTCTCACCACACTGTGGTCCTTCATAACTTGAATTAGTTTCCTTGAGATATGGCAATCAGGACTGGATGCTATTTTCCAGGTGTGGTTGCACCATGTTTTTCAGAGGCATAAAATTTTTTTAAAGTTTATACATACGTTTTTTTTCTAGTGATGCCAGGTTTCAATCAATCAATGTTTAATGAAATGTCTCCCAAGTTCACTGCTGCTTGATATAAAAGTAAACAGAATTTTATTCCATTTTCTGTCTTACTAGTCTAGGAGTCTTCAGAAATATTATTTACAATCCTGTTCTAGCAACTTATTCATAATTAAGCTCTCTGGTTCTATCATATAACCATTTCCCATTAAACTGCTCCCTCTTTCACTTTATATTTGTTCTCATTACCTTTTCTTCTGGCTGTAGAACTATTTCTTAAAAAGATAAACCTTGTTAAATTTCTTCGAGAATTTTTTTGCAAGCCAGTTTGTCAGTGGGCACCTTCCAGGTGAGCGTTTTCTTTTTTTATCTGGGGTCTGCAAACCATTCTTTTTCGGTACAAGAAGGAATCCAAGTAGAAGCTGTCCAATCACTTGCATGACCAGTGGAAGAGAGAAATTGTTTGGGTGGATGTACATATCACAATTATTCTGTACCTAGTTTTTTTTGGATTGCTAATTTTGTCCTTTAGAATTTGGGTTCTACAAAGAACACACCGCATTAAAAAGGCTCAATATTTGCTCAAAGCTAGTTTTATAAAAGTATAATTTGCTATAAAGAAAAATCTAAAAAGCTCTTGACTGCAGTAGAGGGTGACTTTTATATTAATCATATTCGCTGTTATTCACAAACTTCTTAGCCTTGTGTATGAACACTTTGTTCATAACCTTTGTTTTATGTAAAATATAATTGGAGTAAATTTAACTATAGCTTCTTCTCTCATTTGTGATTAAAATCTCATACCAGAGACTAAGCTTCATGAAATTATTGCAAGCATGTGTGACAGACCAGTTAGTCAGCATAACACCTGGCCTTGTGGCAGGAATCAAATTAATACCTATGCACATTCTTGTGCAAAACTTAAGTGATGACAGGGCTCACATCGATTCAGGCCTGCTTCTCTTTATAGGTGGATTCCAGAAGAAAAACAATTTATAAAGACTGTAAGAAACGTATTAATATGGGAAAACTATTATTACTTCAAAACCGAATTTGAAGAAGCTGCTGAACAATGCTGATTATTCAGTGTCCTGGAAAATGTCTCTCATGAAAGTGCTTAAACAAATGTTTTACAATGATTTCTAAAACACAAACATTGAGTTTTGCAGACTGCTTGGTGTACTTCTGGTGGTTCTCTTAAATAAAGTAGAAAAAAAATCTACAGCGTCATAGTCCTTTGGTTTTATTTTCTGGGATAAAAAGAAGTATAGGCATAATGGTTTTGCATGGTCCTCTTGAAGATATCCTTTAAAATAACTTATCAAATGGCTTAATTCATGTCTACTGATTATTGGTATCCATCAATGTCACTGTCAGCCTTGATTAACTGGTTAAAAATTTCGGAGAATAAGTAACTTTTATGAATATTTTCCCAATCCCTGAGACAAATAATCATCACAGAAATATTTATCCTTTCATCATAAATCTCTGGTAAGTAGCCGTGTTCGTTCATTGTTAATAGGGCAAGGAGAAGTGTCATAGAGGGTTAATCCGTGTAAATTGGTTTCCACCCGTAAAGAAATTTTCTGGAACAGAAAAAAAAATTATATATAGAAGTTTGCTCCTTAGAGACAGATTACATCTTCAATTCTTCAGTATGTTCTGAGGAACATATTTTGGGATTAGGAATATAAATCAATTCTATTGAGTAGCAAGAGTGAGACAGTTTCTGTTGTACTGCCAAAGGTATCCTCTGTGTACCCACAGATCTGGGAAACCAAGCTTCTCCACTCAGCAGTTCCTTGTTTTTCTTTCATTTCTATGAAAAATCAGTAAAACTAAATGTTGAGGATGGCCTATGTATGTGTAGGCAGACTTGATGAAAATTCTGTAAAAGAATTTTTGCATATCTGATTGTTTTACAACCCCGTTCGAGGCTGAATCTTGCTAGCAATACACTACTTCTGCAAAAACAAAAACAATTAATCTGAGATTTTTCTCTTCTGTATCACTGTTTATGAAGTTAACTTTAGAAAAGGCTGGAGACTTGCCTATAGAAAGTTCTCATTTTCCACCTGAAGCAAGTTTGACCACACGTGTCTAATTCTATGTTTTCTTACCTGAAAATCACGGATATAAGTCAGGAAAAAGCCAAAGAAGGAAAATGACATAGACCATTCTGCTGCAGTAGTGATCATGTGAAGCACATAACCCTTGAGTGACAATGGAAAAAAAGAATAGTTCTGTGAAATTTCATTCAAATGATTTGTAACTGCTCTCAAATAAAAAGCCCATAACACTTATAAACTCATCTGCCTTCTGAAAATAAACCTTCGATTTACTGAACATATCTAGAGAATTCAGGGCAGCTACTAGGAAAGTCCTCCTAAAAAAAAAAAAAAAAAGCTATCGTAGTTTCATCTAGCGCAAATCAAAGTTCTATTCGAACAGATAAGATAGAACTTCTCTACAATCAAGAAGTTGCTGCCTTTCCCAAAGCCGTAAGATTCATTAAATGCCACTAAAAAAAGTTTAAGTAAACAATGCACATGATGAACTTAGTGCTAATTTTAGAGCATTAAATAATATAGTAATTATAATTTAGAGACTCTAGTAAATTATTTCATTCACTCATTCTAACAAACATGTCCTATCTAGGGCTGATTCTTTAAAGATACTTTAAATTAAAATGCCATTGAGTGTTTTGTGAAAACAAATGAATTCATTTAATTTTCTACTTAAGATATGTCCCTCCTCTTTTTTCCTTAGGATCAAATTGCCATTCAGATATGCACTACACTGAATCCAAATGTACAGTTCATAATAATAGACTTCCAGATAACAGGAAGACATTTTTTTCAATTCAGATAAGAAGAATTCTAATAATAAAAGATCTCAGTTTAGTCTATTGTATACTTTATTCACATTGAGAGGAGTCAACTTCTGAGAAAACTCTGCCATCTCAATTCTCTTCATGTCTTAAAAATGGCCACAGACCACAGGTGACAGAATATGGATTGTTCGATACAAACTCTATCATATACAGAAAATAATCCTAATACATAACTGATTATTCTACCTAAGGAGTTTCACTGTTAGTGATGAAATTAAAAATAATCAAAATTAACTAAAATTCTCATCTTTAATATAAAATTAGGTTTTATAGACTCTATGTTCTTACTTTGTCCTTGGGGTTCCAATGGAGTTTCTGTACTATATCAGTGCCGAAACTGCCACTGTACAAAAGTGATGAGCAAGTCAGCACTACAAAAAAAAAGTCAGTCAAGGAAGAAACTCGGAGACCTGTAAGTTTAATTAGATTCAAAAATCACTTTAAAGGTCCAAAAAGATTGCTCATACATTTGTTTCCAAAGCCCAAACCCATTTTCTTAAAGACTAACATGTTACATGGCAGAAGGAAAAATTTAAATGTGCCCAGAGGATTACTACAAAAGGATTCATACAGCCAATCCCTCTTCGCTCGGTAATTCAGCAGCCCTATCACAAGCTTCTGCTCCATAATTGTTCCCAGGGAGGGCATTAACTCACCTTTCATATATTTGAAGTATGATTAGGCTAAATATTCTTTGTTCCTAGCTCAGGTACTGAGGTCCTCTGTAAAATTTGAATTTCATGTTTCAAATCCTTTAATTTAGGGTTACTAACCTGAGGATGTCACAGTCCACAAGAGGCCTGCTTATAATATTCCAACAGTGTTCACTTAAATCTTATTATTCAATTCCCTTCCAAGTGTAGCCACACTTTACAGCAAAGGATACTGCTAAATGCACTTACTCCACACCAGATAACCACCAGTAGTCTGATCCAGAAGACTTGTTTGCCATGAATTTTGGGCTGCATTTGGTAGGAAAGGATGGTCTGGACAAACATGTATAATGAGCCCATACCAAAGGTGAGCACAGCTCCACATACGTGTACAACAAAAAAGGTTGTTTTCTGAGAAGCAGAAAGAAGAAATAAGAAAATAAAAGAGACTCAAAACACATTGCCAACACACTATTTAAAAGCACGGCCTGTGATTTCAATAAGCTATGCTCTCTGTGGGAAAGCTCTGCAGATTCTACAAATTCCTTCCTGAAGTAATTTTCTCTCAGAGCACTCAGCACAAACCTGAGGGTTACAGCAATACAAATCATTTCATAAGGAACTATTAAAAACATGATAGTAATTATTTATTTACTCATTAATATGTTTGTTTATTTGGGTGCTTCTTATATGTTCTAAGTACTCAGATATGTTAGTGAACAAAACGGACAAAAATCTGGCCCTCGGAATTTACATTCAAGTGAAGAAGTGTAAACAATAAATAATAAACTTTAGAAATAAGTAAATTCCATAGTATGTTAGATGGTGATAAGGGTTATAGAAAAAGAATACTTCAAGGTAAAGAGGATTAGGATGGCTGGGAACACTGGGGGTAGGGAATTTCAATTTAAACCTAATTTAAATCTAAATGCAATTAAAAGGCTCAAGAAATGAAAACATCCCCCTTTGGCTCTAATTTGATTGGTTTTGATAAATTATACAACAAGGGATCATCATAAATTCTTATTTTTTTCTCCTTTACCTTATCAGTATCCATTTGCATTTCACTTTTTACTATACGTACCTGTTACTTAAAAAGTGACAACAGTGGCTGTCTAAAAATTCTACAATCGAAGGTTTTTGTGTGAACCACTCTATTTTTCTAAACTGATGTCTGTATTTCATTTGGTTGAGAAGGTATACAATGTGCACTCAGCACAGAGGGTCTGACTAACAAGAGATGTTAGGGCTTGGTTCTCTCAATTTACAATCGACTGTGCTAATTCACAAATATAGAATCCAAATTACTTAGATGAAGGTGCAGGAAGTTTCTAGTATAAAGAAGAAAAAGGTAATAATTTATTTGCCAAAGGCACTGGTTTCCTTTTGGAGAGAAAAAGGGCTACTTTGATATAATTTGGGGTCTTAAAACTGGCAATAAGTTATGAGCACTGGGCAGGTAAAAAAGTTCATTGTTTTTATCTTGTACAACAAGGGAAAAAAAACCATTCGGCACCCATGAAACATTAATATAAAATGGTATTATTTTCCTGGCTCATAATTATGTGAATTTATCTCTATATATGGATAAAGGCTGGAAATATAAGCAAGAAAGAAATTAATTACTTTAGGGCTAAGACCAGGAATATGAGTAAATTTCCCCCTTAGAAGTATTCATGCATATATCGATGAAGTTAAATACAGATATAGCATGATCAATGCCAACTTGTACTGTGTGTTGATATACAGTTATATAAACACAATCCTGTGAACTAAAAAGCAAAAATAAAGAATGGAGAGCATTTACTACCATATTTTTCTAATTAAAATAGAGGTAAATAAAACTGGTTTCAATTGGCAGTATTTCTGCTTAATATATCCATTTTTGTCATTTTAGAGACTAGGGAAACAACAAAAGATCTTGAAATGGGCAAGAAATTATCCTTCGAATGGAATGCTAGAGCCTCTGGAACTGGTTCTATAGGAATGTAAGTTTTCTTTGGCTTTGATTAAGTTATTGTACAGAGAAAACTTCTGTTAATGATAGAAGTTAAGGATAGAGACAGAACTTTTAAAAAACTGATAGTAATGCAAATAATCCATATCCATAGAAATGAAACTGTGCTGTTGAGTGAATAATGATCAGTTTTGCTAGTTTTGCGTTTATTTGTAAATTCATTTTAGCATTCCTTATCTGACCATAAACATGTTACTTTGACTTCTCTTTTGAACTGGTTTGTAATATGTAGCTATTTCTCTCATTAATAAATAAGTTAAATAAAATCCTGGACACATATAGGATTATCCTCTTTAAAAATATATTCTTTAAGACAAAAATTTATCCTTGACAAAGACAAACAAGAAATTATAGAGATATGTGTGGTCAGGAGCAAATGTTTTATATAGAATGTATAAATTACACGAGTGGTCTGTAATCTTTACCTAAAAGTAGTTAGTGAAATTTAGAAACTAATCTTCTGCTTACTTATCCTTATCCCTTCCAAAGTCTCCTTGAGGATAAATTTTCTAATAAGGGAGAATGCCATGTGACAGCACAGGCATAAATTATAGTTATGCTGCCAAAACCCAACCAATAGCAAGACTTACTAGCTACCATCAGAAGGTGGGAGAGAGGTATGAACAGATTCCCCGAAAGAACCATCTCTACCCACACTTTGATTTCAGACTTCTGGCCTCAAGAACTCTGAAAGAAAAAATTTCTGTTATTTTAAGTCACCCAAGCTGTGGTGTTTAGTTATGATAGCCCTAGGAAATTAACATAGATTTCTGAGATTTCTGCCTACGTATCACTTCTGTTTTCCTGAGGATAAATTTTCTAGAAAGAGAAAAAATTCCTCTAAGTAGACAGTGAGGACACTTACCATGTATTTGTTTTACTGAATATTATTACGTATACTTGTTTTCAAAGAAATTTTGTATTTTTTAAGTCAGATTTTTTTCAAATACCATATTATAGGTATTTTGAAATGAGGTCTTTTTAAAATTATGAGGTCTTTTTAAATACAGACCTCAGTGATAGGAAGAGAATTTTTTATCCTCCCTGCCTAGTCCCTTTGGCCTCTCTCGAATTACTATTTAATGAGAACATGTTTGTGCTAAATGCTGTAGGTGCTGAATATGCTGGTGAACAAATCATACAATGGTGAACAAAATCGCTGTGTTTATAATTAATGAACAAATATTTCAACTAACAATTTTAAAAACATAGCTATAAAATTAGACTATAATAGGTACTATAAAGGATTAGTTTCCAGAGATTAGAGAACTCAAAGAAAAAAAAACTTGAAATATATAGGAGCAAGTCTATCAACAGAAAAGACTTCCCTGAGGAAGTACAGTGTGCACTGAGATCTGAAAGAAGCCTAGGCTTGGGGTTGTAGAACATCCAAGAGAAGAAACAACATAAGAAATGGAGTTAAGTAAACGTGTCTTATTTAAGGGACAAAGAAAGGCCAGTATTAAGTATAGCTGAGACATTAGGAAGGGAAATGATGCAGAAGCAGGATGGAGAGGTAGACAGTGCCCAGATCAGAGAAGACCTCTGAGTTAATTAAGCAGTTTGGCAATTGTTCAATTACTTCTTCTTTCTCTATTATATCTCTTTCCATGCAACTTTGGGCCTACAGAGCTTTCTCCAGGAAGACAGGGCAACAGAGGAAGATGTACATATATTTCCAAAAGATTACTTTGGCTGTAATATTAAATTAAAGGGACATAAGAGTGAATGCAGAGAAACTCGTAAGGAGGCTACGGCAGGAGTCCAGATGAGAGATGATGGAATCTAAACAGGTTGAGAAGGAGACTGGAGGGAGAGAAGTGCAGATGGAAATGGAGAGAAGCAAACACTTTCAAGAAACACTTATGCATGGCACCAACAAGTCCTTACTTTAAAACACAGAGCTAGCTTCTCTTCTAAGTCAGGCTCTGTAATCATAAACCCGCTTAATTAACTCAAAGGTCTTGTATGATCGAGCTGCTGTCCACCTCTTCAGCCTCATTCTGCATCTTCCCTCTTCTTTTCCAAAACACTGGATAGGTGGATGTAAGAAATAAACTTCCACTGTGTATAGACACTGAAATTTTGGGCTTTGGTACAGCAGCAAGCACTACATTAATATCCCCTTGGATTATAGTTACAGAGATTACCAGTGTTAAGCATTCCTAAAAACTGAAAAGTAGGGAAGACTAATCAGAATGTTTATAGGAATAGAGAACTTTGAATAAGAAAGAGACAGAATATGCCTTTATATGTATATTTGGATGATGAATGCGTGTTTTTATGTCTGAATAATTATCAGGTGTTTTAACAGACTATCAAATGTCTAACTGTAAACTTGAAAGACTGCAGAGAGGTTAATCAAAAAGCACCACAGACCCAGGATGCAACCATTATCATCAGAGATTTACCGGAAAGAACATCAATAGAAAGGAATGTGGAGAGTTTGGAAATATTTGGTGAAGGCTGACTGCTACTTTAACATTAAGAATTCCCTGAGAAAAAGCCGAAGAGCTACAGATTCTCCCTTTACCTCCTCATATAAGAGCTGGGTGCCTATGAACACGGGCAATCAATGGGACCATTTGAACAAGACTATAAAACAAGGAAATGAGTGTAAATTGTCAAGCATGTATTGTTTTAAAGTTTAAATCTGTGTCACTTATAATTTATATCAATTCTCTCTGGTCTTGGAGTAATCTCCAACTAAGTAGTAATAAAGATTCTAATAGAGTCCTATGGATCCTTAAAAAGTCAGAACAATTTATATCTGTTCAAAAGATTACTGAGAATGAAATTTTCTAATTGTGAATATCGCTATTTTTAAAAGGGTCAACTGTCAAAGCAGTGTATTCTATTTTGTTAAGGCAAAGAAACAATAGGGCATATAACTGAATGTTTCAGGTTTCCTTTATAACATGTATATTTACGTACTTCAGGAAGATATCTATGCTGGGTTAAAACACAAACCTGGAAGTTTGCCACAAGAGAAAGTCCTAAACAACTCAGCAATCCAAGTACAAGGCCAGCCTTGTTTAATCTGATGATACAATTCCTTTCAGGATTCAGAGCATGAACTTGCTTATAACGAACATAAATGGTAGCAACGCCTGAGAAGAGATAATCCAAAAAACAAGTAATAAATAACCAAGGAATAAAGTTGCCAAAAAAGAGCTCACAAAGGTCGCTGCTATCCAAAAACATAGATTTTCCTTTTAAAGTTAATCAGAGAGAAGAAAAAAGCCAAACAAACAAAAAGCTGTAGATTTTAAAGAAATTGTAAGGTTGCATCATGGAACTACTGCTATTTGTGGGTGACTGAACAAGTCATTGGCTCCCATAGGCCTCATATTTACAAATATTTAGGATAAAATTTAAGAGAAAAGTTTGCTGTTTTCTGAACATCAATCTTTCTGAAATCTCTAATAAGTGTTACATAAAACACAAAATATTATATCTAATTAGCATTAAAGTCTAAAGTAATTAGTTCTAGAATTTGGATAAAAAGGGCATAGGCAAAAAAACACCAAAAGATTACTTGCCTCAAAAAAAAAGAAAAAAAAAAAAAAAGGTTATGTCCCTCACTCTCATTCCATTTTATTTCAAATTACTACAACTTGGCTCAATCAGATACAGCAGTCAATTACACAGAAAAAAATAAAAACTTTACCATCCTTATTAGTCAACAAAGGCCAAACCAAACTTACCACTGTAAAAATATTGCCAAGGAACTCAGAAGTGTAGAGAACATAGCGGGGTTATGCTTTTGTAGAAATGTTTTTGGAAACCTTAGCCATAAGATGAACTTCTGTACAGAGAATCATTTACTTGACCTTATTTTTTGACTTCATATGGAAGAATGCAAATATTTAAAACAATCACAAGTGGTGAAAAAAATAATATTTTAAATAAACCATTAATAAAAATTTGGTTCAAAAATAAACAATTAATAGAAATACAAAATTCTATAGTAGAACTCTATTTCGTTGGTATTTGGAATATTGCTCAAAAATCGAAACATGATTCCACAGTTACTCTCAAACTTCTAAACTATTTATTCTAAAGGAATTTAGCTGGGGTTAGTTATGGTCACTGTGTTTATAGCTCTTTGTCCTCTACTGGTTGCTAAGAAATCCATTTCAGGCCTCAAGAAATATTTGGTTGTACTTTACAACTTGTATTTGAATGTGCAAATAGTCCCGTTCATTTGTTTCAAGATTTACTTCCATAATTTAGCATTTCAAGAAATTGTCTTTTAAAAGGAACATATCTGTGACCAATAATTTAGTGATAACATTCCCTCAAGTACAGTAACTATAAAGTAAAACAAGTAGCACAATAGTGTCTAAATTAAAAAAGGGCAATTTAGCTATTAATTTTCATCGTTAAAACTTCACTCTCATTACTTACATAAAACTGCGGCGAAATTTAACATTGCCCCAAACAAGCATTTTTCTGGAGCTACTGTACCAGTGTCACTGAAAGAAAAAAAAGAAGGTATGTGGATTTCTGACTCTAGATGTACACATACGTTTCTTCTACAGGATAAGAAATAACAGGGGTTACTTCAAATTCTTTATCTTTTTTTATAAATCTGTGAGTTCAACTCATAATTTTATAATGAAACATGACAATTTGAGCTCACGATATTTGTCTAGTTCACTCTTTTCTTACATCGCTTAAGATTCTCTCTTTTTTACATAATAGAAATCAATATAAATTGATTTTTTTTTTAAAGTTACACTTGGCATGTTGAAGATGTGTTATTGTCAGTAGATGTGTTTATCTGTCTCCCCTGAATATTCGCTAAACATCACAGGTCCTTTCACAAGTGTCTTTTGTCATCTGTTGTTGACTTTGCCTATAATGCAATTAACACTAAATCATTTCCTGGTTAATTAAAAAAATATTTATTGAGCACCTACCATGTGCCAGACAGCATTTTAGGGACAGAAATACGCAGTAAGTAAATGAGACAAAGAACTTGCCCTCCTGGAACTTCCATTCAAGACCAGTTTTGAGCCCCCTCCTCACTGTGGCTTTGGCTAATCCTCTAGCCGAATGTGACTCACACAACATTCTGTCCAGACGTCAACCAAAACCACTTACCGTGCCGTATGAAAATGCACCTGCTTCCATGCCTGCCTTTCAGGACACTGTGGAGGACAGACCCAGGTTGACAGCCCATCATTTACTAACTATGATACCTTGGGTACATTCTTTTATCTCCTTAAAACTGTTACCTATCTGCAAAACGGGGCTATTCATTCCTTCCCAGCCTCGTCGATCAACATGAGGAACTGAAACTGTGGTAATGCATGTCAAATGTCTAGCACAGAATCTGGCACACAGGGGACACCCATTAAGTGTTATGTTAGTTCCTTTCCCTTCCCTCAAACTATGGTAAAGGTTAAAAAGACAAAGTCTTTGGCCTTGAATTGAAGTACTATAGGAAAGAGACAATAAGGATCTCGACTAAGCCAATGTAATGGGAATAAAACGGGAAGGTAAAGCCACATCTAGCAAGGAATCAGTAAGATTTGGGGAACATTTGGATTGGAGTTAGGAAAGGTAAAGTATCGAATATGAATTCTAAGGCCTGCTCCTTCCAACTTTAAAATGTATCTTCAGATACAAAAGATTTTGTCACTCTTGATCATCTTCAGGAAGTAAGGATTATGGTTTTTTTGTTGCTGTTGTTCATTGTACCTTTCAAGTTTTGAAGAATAATATATATTATTTTTATAATCAGGAAAAAAACATAATTTTAACAATTATATTCCAAATGATGCTCCTGTTTTGGATTACCCCAAAAGTAAACAAAAGCATGCATTTCCAAGATGGCTGGCTAAGTGGGCTCCTTTCCTGGCTCTAGAACAGACTGACATGAACTGGCCTCCAAGAGAAAACAGCCATGCCCATCACTTCATCAGCACATCCCTTCATCACACTATGGTGATCACACATCATAAAACAAAAGTCTGATCATGTAACTTCAAAATATATGTGCTTATTATATTATTATTGCATACATATTAAATATAAGTTTAAACATTTTGAGATTTAAAAAATATACATAGAAGTTCTAATAATTTCTTCTTATACTCCAGTGGTTAGTCTCGTGTACCCTACCTGGGCATCCACTACTTGAACCAACTAAGCGAACACCTGAAGCCCACTTCAGTAGAATTGTCTTTGAAGTGAAATTTACTTTCAGTTAAACCTTCTAGTTAGGGTCTATGAACTGAAATAAACTTTGCAGACTACTTAGTTTAACTCAACTTTTCAGATGAAGGAAATGAGCCTAAGAAGTCGAAATAACTACTGTTGAGTTTAAATGTAATAGAATGTTGGGGAAAGATCTTTGGGTAATAATACTAAGTTCATTAACAGAAAAATAAAAAGGCAGAAGGGACAGAAAAGGAAGTGTCTAGGTGACTTTCTGTCAGAAAATCACATACAGTGCCATCAGAGAACTGAAACTGAAAAGAAACTGAAATAGCTTCTGAAATTATTTAAAGTTCTTCAGACAAGTTCTCGAAGGAGAAATAAAAACGTTGAAGGACTCTTGTGAATCTTATAGATGTATCTTCTCTTGAAGTTACTAAAGATTGAACTGGATCCTTATGCTACATGTTCCTCTAACAGAGTGGTAAACAGAGGTGATTATTTAACAAATTATTCTTAGAACTGAAACTTTAAATTTTAATGTATCTTTGGGTTTTGTGAATCTTCCCCAAGTGTACCCCATTTGTTGATATCCTTTCTGTCATATGGGTATGGAAACAACAAATGTAATGGGAATGCCCTGATCTCTTTTTGACATTAAAAAAATAACAAATTTAGCCTTTTGATTTATCATCCTTTAAATGTTTACCATTTTCTGTTAGAAAGGTTGTTTTTCAGAAAGTAAACGATTAAATAAATGAAACAAGAAAACAAGCCAAACTCTGGAAGGAAAGCCACTAAACCATTAATCATCTCTGGGGGTGCAGGGGTAGGAACTGGAAGGGGTGGTTAGAAGAGATGTCCATTTTCTATTTTTATAATCACTCTAGTATTATTTAAAATATTATAATAAGCACATATTACCTTCATAATTGGAAAAAAGGAGGGTGACATAGAACATGCAACTGAGTACCCATATTTACATCATTAGTAATTTTGAAATTTCAAAAATGTTACCAATAAATTTTGATACTTAGTGTGTCAGAAAGACATAGGCAACATGTCATAATGAGTAAGAAGAACATAGCCTCTAGAATCAAATTTCCCAGTCGAATTGAAACTTAGTTCCATCACTTACTGATTCATGTGCCTCTGGACAAATAACCTCCCTAGACCTCATTTCCTCCTCTCTCTAACCGGGGTTAGTAGTTCCTGCCTCAAAGGGTGGCTGTAAGGATTCAATTATTTAAGATCTGAAGGATGCTTAGAACATTACCTTGTATACAATAAGTAGATCAATAAATATTTGTCATTACCATTATCTTTTAATATTAGTGTTTACAGCATTTTTTTATGGGGAGAAAAACTCCAATTCTATTTTCTGAGATAATTTCAAATATTAATTTGGAAGACAAGGCCCTAAAGTGTCACAATTCACTAAGCAATTCCGCAACTGAATCTTAGCCCTGTCTCCATGTTTCTCTATCACATAAAAAGAGCCAAATACAACTTCTTGATCATGTTCCTTTTATCGTTGTAATGCCAAACATAAAATTTGAATTTTAAAACGTTAACATTAAATCTTGCCCTCAATGTTAAAATATGAATGAGAGAGAAACATTCTCCTATAAAATATATTTCACTGACCTGATATAAGGCAAAGCAGGGTCAACATGGTGGAGGGTTATGGCGGTAATGTATGAAAATATGAAAGCAGCGGCGGTCCAAATTACAAGTGCTGAAGGAAGGAAACTGAGGCCTTGCTGAAACCACCACATCTCAAACAGGTCTTCTGAAGAAGAAAAATACAAATTAGAAGAGATTTGCAAGTATTTCATCTATTCTACTTTAGCCACCTATTCTCCCAACCTTGGACTTATCGCCCCAAGCTGCTCCCCTTCTGAAATCATACCCCACACCATCTCCCAATACCTGCCCTCCTTTGATTTCTCAGTAAATGAAACCAAGATTCACCCACTTGCCATATCCAGAAGCCTTTCTCTCCCATTTTTTATACATAATCAAGTTCCAAGGACAATTTATTCTACCTCCTAATTTCCTTCAAATCTGCCCCTTCTCTCTCTCTTCACTGCCGCTACCCTACCTAAACCACCATCATTTCTTGGCCAGATTATAACCTACAAAGTGGTTCTCCTCTAGTCTGGACCACAACCAATCTAGACTCCACTCTGAAACCAGAGCGATCCTTCTAACTCTAAAATACCAATCTGACAACCTTATTCTTCTACAAAGAATTTTTCAGTGTCTCTCCTGTGTCCTTATAAACAGTCTTTCCTCCTTAACCTGGTCTGTAAATAGGTCTTTCTATTGTCTGAGCTCTACATACTTTTTATATTCATCTGTGGCCACTCTGCTCCTAATTCCTTACTCTAGCTATCATTTTCATCATGGCAAAAGGAAACATAGTGTTTTACTGTGTCAGCAACGTTACTAAGCTCTTTAAATACATGATCACATTTACTCCTCACAACAGAATTATAGAGTTAAGAGAATTGCCCAAGGTCATAGAGAGGTCAAGATAGGATTCAAACTCAACAGTTCCATTCTAACACCAATCACTATGCTATTCTGCCACAGCAAACTTCTTTCAGATCTTCAAATGTGTCATGTTCTCCTGCATGCCTTCAGGTCTTCCCGCGCACTGTTCTGTCTGGACCACCGTGCTATCAGCCTTCCCTCCCCACTACCACCGGTTAACTCCCACCTATATTAAGTCCCAACTCTTCTAGCTTCAACTGAGTGTCTCTGCTTCATTACCGACAGCACCCTTTACTTCCCCACCAGGACACTCATCACACTTAACTGTTACTTGCTTGTTTGGTTTTATCTTCCTCCCTTAACTTTAAGTTCTGTGAGAGGAGGAACCAACTGTTTTGTTCACCATTATATTTCCAGCTCCTACAGGAGGGGGAAAAAAAAAGAGGGCCTAAATATACACATACCACACATCACTTTCTCCCTTACATTCCAGACTGAGGATATTGGTAAGTAACGATGAGTCAATAATGTGAATTAGAAAACATTAATGTGTCTTCATGCGTTTAATAAAAAAAATATATATATAGAAATACTTTCAAATTATAAGAAATTACTTATATTATGCATGTGAAAATAATCTCATGTTTGGAGGAGTATCTTCTCGTAGTTTGCTGGACTGAAATTTAGTATTTCCTATAAACTTTGTAAAAACTTGCAATTCTTATCTCCAATGTGCTCAGCTTCCTCATCTCAGACTGACCTTCCAAATAATAAAACCTCAGCTATTTTTGATTTGTCATTTACTGATCATCTGACTTATTGCTTAATATGTACATTCAAATCTTGCTAAGTTTCTTCTTCTTTGTCTCTAAAGCTACCATTATAGATTCAATTTGAGTAATTTCTTGTCTGAATTATCATAATCTCCCCTTTTTCTGTTCTTTTTTTCACCAGTCCTTAACACTCCATCAATTTTCTGCATCTATTTAGTTAATCATGACAATTGCTTGCTAAATTCCTATAGTGCTTTCCCCATTTTGGGGACAATAACTCTCAATTTCTACAAATTCTGAATTAACAGAACTTCTAAATTAACATTCCTATAACATTCTGCTCAAAAACTTCTTTAAAAAAATAAAACTGTATGAACTTTGAACAAGCTACATTAATTTCTCTGAGTTTCCCCCTTTGAAAAATGGAAATAATATTTTTGGCAAAAACCGCATTGTCCAATACAGTAGCCACTATCCATAGGTGGCTATTTAAATTAAAATTTCAATATGGGTGGTGAACGCACCACACAATATATATGACTTAACTGTTGAATTGTACTCTTGAAACTTATTGGATTTCTTTAACCAATATCACCATAATAAGGAAAAAAAGAAAAAAGAAAACATTCAATTGACTAAACAAAATTTAAAATTTCAGTTCCTCAGTTGTACTAGCCACATTTTAAGTGCTCTAAAGCCACACATGGCTAGTGGCTGCCATTAAGGACAGTGAAAATATAGAACATTTCCATTATTGTGGAAAAGTTCTATTGGACGATATTATATAATTATTGCAAGAATTGTACTGACACAGCACAAGAAACTAACACATTGCTGATATATAATGAATAGTAGCTTTTAAATGTTAAAATGTCTAAAATAATACCCACTTCATAGGTTTATTCAAGAACTTAATGAGATAATATATGTAAGATGCTGTCATAGGCAGTCAATAAACATTTGTTCCTCTTTTAGAATGTAAAAGATGAATTACCTGTTTTAAAGTATTAGTCTTCAAATCTGTCCAAACCTGCACCTTTTTTGTAAATCTTGAAATCCATGGACATGCTTTTAAACATGTACAATTTCGAGTCGATGCACTGAGATTGTTCAAGGGCAGAACACTCTGCTATATTACAATAATGCATAATAATGCTATATTATGCATTATTACGAGGTTATTTTTCCTTAAAGAGTTGATACTTGTGTGTTTTATAATAATGTTGTACCAGCAGAAATTAAATACTTTAAATCTAAGATACCAATTTTCTCATCCTTTCTCATATAGGACACCTCTCACTGACCTCAAAAAAAGACCAAAGAAAAAACACTGAGTTTCCTCCTTTAGAAGGAAAGACATAAATGAGGAAAAAATAATAGCTTGTTATTAAGCAAGATAAAGCAATAACTAGTCCGAGTGATGCAATGGAAAGAACACAGTGGTGAGATTGGATTTATCTAAGTGCTAATCCCAGCTTTATCATGTCCCAACCTTATAACTTCAGGCAAGTTAGTTATCTTCTCTGAGTTACAGTATTCTCATTTGTAAGGTAGCCATCTCAAAAGGTTGTTCCTTAGAGTAAAACAGAGTAAGCATAAATATAATAGTGATAGCTGATTTATCTATTTTGAACAACCATAACCAGCCACAGGGAGGGGGGAATGACTTAATTCTTTGTATATATCAATCATCTTGGATTTGTGTCTCCTTAGGTTTTTGAGGGTTTAGCTATTTCAACAGACAATTTAGAGGGGAAGCAGGGCTTGAAACGGTTTACCAGTCTGCTAATGACAACTGAGAAATTTAAGTTCACCAACCAGGTGAGGAAGACTACTATTGCCCTTGTATTTCCACACTGGAAAACTGCAAGCATGGATGGCTAACTGCCAACCAAGCAAAATTAGAATTTTAGTGGTTAATACTTTAAGAAACCTTTCAAAATACTTGAAAATATGCAGGAATAACTACTTCACATAGCAGTAACAGTGTTTAACAAAATATACTTGCATCTCTCACTCTTCTCCTCTGCTCTCTTTGAAGATCCATAAATTGGAACTGCAGTTACAATTTTTAAGTTTCACAAATATTTAAATGCCACTGATAGTAAGTTGAATTCCTTATGATGTCTCCTCTAAGTGCTGACTGCTAAGAAAGAAAACTCTGGATATTCCAAGAGAAGAGAGAAAGCCCTAAGCTTCACTCAGAGGTATATAGGCCAAAAGCAAAGCATAATAGAAAAACCGTTATTTTTCTAAATTTTAACTTGGCTTTCTGATAAATGTAATATTCTTGTAATAGTTAAAGCCTAAAGAGTCTAGAAGATTAAGCGACTTTATAAAGTGGATCGAATATTACAGAGTATTGGAGAGAATCTGATGATGCAGCTGCAGTTGGGTACTAATTTAATTTATAAATTAAAATTTGGGAAAACTGGAAAAATCATTTCTGTGGTGTTTTCTCTGTTTTTCAAATGTATCCTAATGTAAAGCACGGTTGTGAATACAAATGACTTCCCATTTACCTTTC